CTGACTTTTTTCACGAAGCCTATATACTGTGCTTAGCGAAATAATTCTCCATGTGCTTTGACTAATTGTGATCATCGAAAACAGACTACTAACGACAAATCCAGTTATCCTTTTGTCTTCCACAGGACATTTCTTCTGATTTTTCTCGTCACCCCACCAAAGGGCCAATCTAGCAAACCAGGCTATACTCCTAACTTGGGAGGTGAGTACAAAGCAAAGGCGACCCCATATACATGGCCTGTATGTGATATTTCTTTCAACAAAATCACAATTTGATTAATTCTAATCAGAAATGATTTTTTCTTGGTTGAAAGGATTCTTCTCATGCAACCTACTCTCACCTAGCTCCGGTTAGAGATGTATTCACACTTCTAATTCTTGGACTTCTGAAATTTTTATTGTCCCTGCAAAACAGTCAGGCCTGTCCGAGGATGCGTGTAAATCAGCCTGAGTGTATTTGAGAGGGGAGTGAGCAGATGAGCTAGCGCTACCCAGCTGCTCCCTCTTTTCCTCCCCTTAAGTTCTCCATCCCCAGGACATCCTCCATGATATCAACAACATCCCCAAATTTCCCACTGTTGCCCCCTCTCTTCCCCAGTGTTAGAAGATCAAGGAATTATGCTACACACTATCCACGTGAGACCTTGGAGATACTGTAGAAGTTAATTTACATTTGCAGGAGGGTCTGAGACAGAGAGAAACAGAGGGAAGGGAACCACAGGGTGAAACAGACAGGGGCACTTAGCGACATGGCATGGCAACTCAGAGTTGGAAGAGAGCCACCAGATACCCAGACATGCGCAGCCAAGTCTTCCAATCCTCTATCTCCATTTCCCTCTAGATCTAGAGAGAGAAGACCAGACAGGGAGATGGAGACACCCACGCTGGGACCTCCACCTTCACAGTGAGACAGAGAGATGCAGAGAGAGGCTGAGGGTTACAGAGAGAGACCCAGAGAAATACAGAAAGAAACAGAGAGAGCAACACACACAGAGACACATAGAGTGACAGAGACAGAGAGCTGTAGAGAAAACCTTCCTCCCCGACCCCAGTACATCCGGCTCCAGCAGCCTCTGTGGCTGAGACCTTCTGCAGCAACCCTTGTACAAAAAAGGGCCTTGTACAAAAAAGAGGTCTTTTTCCAAGAGGAAAGGACGCGGTCCAGCTTGCAGAGGCACAAGGTTTGTAACTCAGCATTTGCGGATGAGAGAACAAAGCTATTCCCTGGATTCCAGAGTGACTTAAAGGGAAGGGACTCACCATTTGCCAAGGGGGTTCTACACAAAGGGGCTTATTGTTCAAGAAAGAGTGAATCCACGACGCAGTTGTCACGAGGTTTTTGGATCTTGCTGCTTGTACATTAAAGCTGTGATTGTCTGTTCTTGACCAGGTCATACATTTCAGGAGCGCAGGGCCCCCGGGAGAAATGCGCAGATTCCTGTCTTCTTGTCTCTGGGGAGTATGAAGGAAGCTTCCCTCTCAGTGGTGCTGATGGAGGAGGGCATGAAGTGCGGAGAGGATGGAAGCCCCCTGTCTAAGCTATTCTGTGCTGCTAAGGTTTCTCCCCTACCCACTGTCAACATCTATAGATGCCATGCTGGGTTTCCACAGGGGGACAGCAGAACCTTGGTCTTGCCAGGGTCTCTAGCTCCATTGCTGTTGGAATCACGTGTATCCCCAGGAAGCGAGCTCTGGCTCAGCTTGGCAGTGGTGGCCTGGGATGTCAGCTGGCTGGATTCTGTGGGTTGCTGAGGGAAGGCCCTCATGAATAGTCACCAACAGTTGGGCCGACTCTAAGTAGGTCATTGCTGGTTCTTCTGGCAAAAGGAATCCAAGAGCCAGTATGTTAAACTCTTCCAAATTTAAATTGATTGCATGGTCAGCCTGGCTTGGGCTTAGATGCAACTTCTTTGGCTGCGAGTCAAGCAAAAAGCACAGAGCTTTTGAGCCAGAAATGTGTTTATTTTAAGTTAAGGAGACTGAAGCCTGGAGTAATGGGTAACAGCTAATCAAGACTTGAGCCAGAGGTAGAAACCCAAGTCTGCTGGCTTCCAGTCCTGGACTTTCACCTCAAGACCAAGGAGCCACCAAGGCTGACTATGTACGATTAACCCCTACCAACAATATGGTGTTTTGAAACCTGTGATGAGGAAGGAGAAATATTATATTTCCAGTAGAGAGCTACTCATTTCCTTAACATTGTATGTGAACAAATTCAACATTCAAATCAGGAGCCACCTGATAGGAAGGCAGTATTATAGGTAAAAACCCTTCTAGAAAAAAAAAAAAGAAGAAGAAGCTCCTTTATAAAGCCAGCACACAGGCAGATGTAACAGAAGAAAATTAGTGGGTAAAGGAAAAGGGGCAATGGGTAGCCCCTAATTATCCTACCAAGAACCCAGTATTAATGATGTAATATTACAAATGGGAAAGGGAGACTCATTTTGTGAATGAGTAGGGTCTCTCTCTCACTTTTTTAACGACAAAAAACTTCCTCTAAGTAGGAAAGTTTGAGAAAGCAAAAGTATAGTAATCAGCAGGTAGAAAAATATACAAACCGGGAGAATGAGTCATCTTGAGTGGATTCCTCATCTTTGGACAACAATTGCACCCTTTTCAAATGAAGTCAGGAAGAAGTGTTAATTTGACATTTCCCAGTATCTCCATAGGGTCTCTTCAAGGGAAGAGAATGGGATGGGCACAGTCCTGGTTTTCTCAATGCAGAGATTTCAGTACGAAGAAATGTCGTTTATCCTGAGTCAACATATTGAAATGAAGATGGAATCCCATGGAGCTAAATGGTTACAGGATTTTAACTCTGAAAAAACTTTAGAAAAGACTGAGCCCAATTGCCTTGTTTTACAGATGGGAACACTGAACACGAGACAGACAGACAGAGAGAGAGGTAGAGAGAGGGGTTGGCCTTTCATCTGTATTGTGCATTGAGCAATCACATCTAGCATGCAAACACACTCTGCTCAGACGTACTCACTCCTTAAGAGAAGATGGCGGGAAAGACGCTCTATCTTGGGATTATTATTAATTAAGAAAGGCTCATGGATGCTAACAGAGAAACTCTGGAATCATCTGGGAATCCCTTGAAGAAGCTGAGCCTTCTCTCCTGCTACCCACAGCCCAGTCTGCCCCATTCTGAAAGGTGTCAAGGAACTGCACAGATCAGGCTGACCATGGAAGACCCAGGGTGGAGACAGACTCAATGTCCCGTTCACACCTCACCAAGGAAGTGACTTGGTCAGGTGGCTCAAGGAGAAACTGGTGGTAACAGTGTCTAAGGCAGATTCTTGGGTAGAGCACCTAGTACTTGATAATCCTCGGGAGAGTTATTTGAATTTCTGGGACTTCGGTTTTCCCAACCAGAAACTGAGGAAAATGGAGCTTACCTCACAGGGTTGTTGTAAAGATTAAATGAATAAGTGTAGGTAAAATACTTAGACTAGTACTTGGCAAATAATAATTGGCCATTAAAATGTTAGCTGTTTTTATTAGAGTACCTGTGAATTCATGCACACACCCACAAACACACACACACGCACACACACACACAACCAAACACACAGCCATGACCTTTGGCCTGAGTTTGGATGAGACACTCTCATGGAGCTGTTCATTGACAGCTAAACGAAAGTGTTAAGTGTTGGGTTCAGTCTCTTTCATCAGGGCTACCAGCCAGCAAAATGTGTGGAAGGATCTCTTCATTCAATGTTTCCAGAGATGTGATATATGGTTCCCTGCCCTGGAAACAGTGTATGTCAGAGAGTGTACATATATTCAGGGCACTCCGAGCTCTGCGTCACTTTTTGCCTTCTCTGTGAAGTCTTCCCTGACCTGTCCAACCAGAAGTGCTGACTCTCCCCACTGATTTCCTGCGATATTTATCATCTGTGCCATTCACTGTAGAGTCAGTATTTACTGTGTAATATTGTTTACTTACTTTTAGCTTTTTTGTGTGCATGTATTTTCTTTCCCAGATAAGACTGTAAACCTTTGGGGACAGAATTACTCTTGTTACTCACTATGTCACTCACTTTTGTATGTCCAAAGAGCAGAGCAAGGTGCTTTGCACATAGAATATGTTTAATAAAGTCCTTTGATGACACAACCAAAGGTTTGATGATACTGGCTTTTTTAATTTCCAAATGACACAATACTTAACTAGTGACCAAAATGGAATGACCTATTTCCACAACATCGCCTCCTCGAGCCTCATGGCTACAAAAGACGTAACAAAACTCCTTTCACTTATTTCTCCTTCATGCCAACATCTCTGGTAATATTCAAATGGAGGTTTGCCTTGGAATTTGGGGGGCCAGGAAGGTAGGTAGTAAAGGGGAGACACTAGAATTGGGATGTGTGGGACTACGTGGGGGTGAGAAGGACAATACAACTGGCTACCCTGTCCCAAGTCAGATCAAGGGAAGTTTCCCTCAAGTGGAATTCCATATCTGAATTCCCCACGGCTGTGCACCAACGTAGAGGCTCAGTAAGAACTCCTTGGGCCAGTCATTAAAAAATAAAACAAAAATACCTTCGGTGTTAAGGTAGGGATTGGATCACGATGTACTGATAAGTATCCTAGTCAGTGTTTTCCAAGTTCAACGTCAGTACAGGCAAAAATGCGGTCGCCTTTTAAAATCAACAAGTGACACAGCCTGGCATTTTACCCCCTGCGTTCTAATTACCCCAGTGCAGTAGGTGCAGCAGAGTCTCACGTGGTCATCTGAGATAAAGAGGAGGAATGAAAAGACAAACAAGTGACTCATTTTAATGAATTTGCTTCAGATGAGAGAAACCTGTAATTTCTCTTAGACTTGTTTGACGGACCCACTGTGCAGTGAATCACAGACTTACACAAGCCTTGAAACTCAGGGCAGGTTTACAGTTCTCCCATCGGCTTCTCACCACGGCGGCTGGTTTACACTGGGGCCTCCTGGACATCCTTTCAAATATGGACAAGACAGATCCCAGCCACTGACGGGAACCTTGGGAGGTTCCAGAGCCAGCACCAGTGATGGTGGGGCACAGTGGTGGGGAGCCCAGCGCCGACCCTCCTGCAGGGCTGCTGGATCTCCTGAATGCTGTGAGTACACACGCCATGCCAACGCCTTTTCCTGCTGAAGGCAGGATTGTTGTCAGACATATTCCAGAATGGGGAAAATGTGTGATTTATGATGCTACTTTCTGGAATGCTTGCTTCTGCAGGAACCTTCCCTACCATTATTTAGAGACTGGCTAACTCAAGTTTGGAGTATTTCCTCAGTCTCTTTTACATTTGTTTTTCTCTAAAAAGTCATTTGTCAGGCTCTAAATTGCTCACTTCTAGGGGTGAAAATGCAAAGCACTTTGTTAGGCAGTTAGATTCTCTGTTCTCCAATAGTCCCACTTACTTGATAAATTGCATGAGCAAACTAGTTTTCAATCCCTTCCTTCAGGCTGAGTGTAAAGCTAGATTTTTTTTTTTTTTATGAAGCATGCTTTAATAGTCTCTTCTTTTAGTGGGGTTGACAAAGCTCTCCTTATATCAACGTAAAGGGAAACATTTCCTCCACTTACTGCTGAAACCTATCTCCTCTCATTTTGAGTAGCCAATATTATGCCATTTGATGGTCTATGTTCCTTAAACTCTGAGGACAATTGTGGGAGCTCTAAAATGGGCGTCTTAAGATGCTATTTTTTTTAGTGTCGGCCCTCCAGAGAGCTTTCTTCATGGAGCAGGGCAATTGCTCGTCCTATCAATTTCTTTAACATCATATGAGTATCAAGATAGCTGGTGACATGCTGGAAGCTCTCCAACTCTGAGGTGATGTGATTATTCAAACTTATCAGAATTTGAATCCAGACTGCAATTCTCAGAGAAGATATTGAGCTACAAAGACACTGGCTGGATGCCATCTAAAATAACCGAGGATGAGATGTTTCTCATTATAGAAGATCCTTCATATCTTTCTTTTCCCCCAAGGCTCTTCATGAAACAGCTCATCCATGGCAAGGGAGAACCCATAAGAGAGACTGAATACATTCTATTAACGAGGCCAGAAACACACAAACAACTTGTTCGGCCATCTGGCTGTATAATCTGTCCTAATTACACTAGTGGGGTAGACAGGAAATTAGGCTGAGGGGAGCAAAAGACACACACACACCCCTCCAAAATGTGGATCACCTAACTCTTAACTTCCTCACCCTCCAGTTAACCTTTCTGAATTGGTCCTTCCCATCAGTGGGATTGGCCAAGGAGTATGCCATGAGGTGCTGTCTAAAAGATTAGTGGAGCGGAACACTTTGGGAAAGTATCCACTTTGTTTACAAGCATTCCCATCCAGCTCACCTCAGAGTGTTTTGCATGAAGAGGTTTGAGAGGTCATACTTTTCCATGCATTCCTTTCTGCCTGACTGTGGTTACAGTTCCCAGGCTGTATTTCCTATTATTTTCTTTGAGAGTCCTGCTACGAGCCCTTACTCAGCGTGTTCAGACAGGTGGGGAGGGCCTCAGTCTGCTTGAGTCATCTGCCCCCACTCCACCTAGCATCTAGTATCAGAAATATGTTCCAGGACCCAGGAAGCCTAACTGTATTTTTGAATTCCAACTCAGAAACTCAGCTCCAGGTACAAAGACGGGACAAATAGAAGATGGTGTTTAAGAACAGCCAGCATCTTCTGGGTCTGTCCAGGCAAGCAGTGTTTTGTGATTTCCCACTTTGTGGAGACAGCGTGGAAAGACACTTGCACTGTCATGTCATCACTAATCTGGCAGTATGCTGTTTCCTACTGAATCTAGATGAGACCTCACAATCCTTTTTTACATAAGGATGCAGTATAACAAAGAGGAGGTCCATTAGGCTGGGTGCATTTCTACTTAATTTACCAGGTTCCAAAATGATCTAGCATTGCAGATATGCTCATCTGCTCTCCTAAAATAGGAAAGTTGCCTTGTGATTTTAAAACAAAAAGTTCAGAAGCTGGCATCATTCACACCTTTATTCATTTATCCAACAAATGTTTACTGAGTGTCTATTATACATCTTATGCTCTGCTGGATGCTGGGGACAGAGAAATGTCCTTCTGTGTCCACCTCCTAGTTAATGATAACCTGATATATTTTTTTTTTTTTTGTGGTACGTGGACCTCTCACTGTTGTGGCCTCTCCCGTTGCGGAGCACAGGCTCCGACGTGCAGGCTCAGCGGCCATGGCTCACGGGCCCAGCTGCTCCGCGGCATGTGGGATCTTCCCGGACCAGGGCACGAACCCATGTCCCCTGCATCGGCAGGCGGACTCTCAACCACTGTGCCACCAGGGAAGCCCTGACAACCTGATTTTTCCACTAAGTACAGCCTACTTTCTCTGGGGCTCTGGGACTAAAAGCACTAAGCCCAGTGTTCTGCTGACCCCTTGTCATTAGGTCTCAGAGCACAGGCAGTGGTATGGGAGGTACTCATTGCTGTGAATTCTCCACAGAGCTAAATCCTGAGATGCAGCCCCTCTGGGACTTTTGGGTGTTAGTTATATTTTCCTTTAAGCCTCTGAAGCCAGAAGACACTATTTTCTCTCTCTCTCTTTGACATAATCACCATGTTAGAGCAGGGAGACTGGCTTCCATTCAACTACCTAGAATAGCTGCTTATTATTAAATGAAAAACAGAAGTGTATGGTAGGAGGTAATTCACACGATTGTGAGGATACACAAAGAGAGGCGGGTTGTGGAAATAAGAAGGAGTGATTGGCACTCCTTTAGTTCCTGAGAAGCTGCCATTCCAGATTGCTTGTTGCTTTTGTCTCTTAAATAAGTCTTGTTTCAGACACTTTGGGAATAAGATGCGGCGTGCCTTTATTGGATGACTAGTGTGCACGTTGGAGGGAGTTTCTTTGTAAATGTCAGATAGCTGTTTATTTACCTAATTACCATAGAGAGCTTCAGGTGAGGGTCCTTTTACATCTTGTTTCTTTTCCTCTTTTTTATTCTCCATTTCTGAGTCTGTCTTGCCCTCCCTTGTGATCATCCCATACTTCTGACTGCCACGCATAGGTGTCTGTCTTCCCTCCAGCTTTACTCTGAGCGTCATGTCAAGTTTCAGGATAATTCTTACATGTTGCATGGATTAAAGATTGCCTGCCCACTGTCGCCTTCTTTCAGGATGCACTAAGGCCAGGACTATTGCTCTCTGCTGGGCTACTTTGGATCACGATGTGAGTGAATGAAAGGAGCTCCCAGGAAGGTGTTAGCACAGGACTGGCATGGGGTAGGGTCCAACAAAGGCTTGTGAAGCTTGAATCTGGAGAGATTGATATGTTCCAAAATAGCATACTGTCTTTGGGTAGCAGCCTTCAACTCTCCCAAAGCACTTTTGATGATCAAGTAAATTTGGTAAAACCTGTGTGACAGTCTTCTCACTTCAAGAACTCTCATAACTTTGCTATGCAAATGTATGTGTGTGTGGGGGGGGGGCTGGGGGGGGGTTGGTGGTACTGGTACACAATGTTTCCCAAACTGATCTGACCATGGAATCCCTTAGTCTTTTATGAGACCAGTGATCCACAGAAAACCACGTCAGGACATGATGCCTTGGCCAAATCCAATAGACACCAAATTGTTTGCCCGCTAAGAGTAAAGCAGGCAGATTTCCTGAATTCATAGAACATTTATACAAATGTCTTCAGTGTTGTTTTTCTTCTACCTTTGTTTTCTTTACCTTTTGGTGCCTGGGACAAATTGTTGCCAAACAGGTGATGGATAATGTGCGTATCCCAGGATAAATATGCATTTTTGCAGCGTTATTCTGTCAGGATTACTGCTTACTCTTTTCATTTCCCCCCAGCTGGGTATTAGGATCTTGATTTAAATAGCCAGAGACAGTTCTTCCCAACAAAGTATTTTTCTGCCACCATCTCCAGGGGGTTTGTAGAACTAGGGATTTTATAAAGACACACGATTTCACTGATAAGCTGAACACGCTGTAGAACCAGAAGTCAGTACATGGTATAAAGGTAATTTAAGCATCCTGGACAGAGAGTAGCTCTGGATTCTCCATGTAGGATAGGACCTGGCACGGACTCTGGCCACTCTTCGCGAGGAACTAGTAAACCCCGCGTCCAGGTGAGTGTCCAGGTGAGCTGGCTTTGGTTACATTCACATCTGAAAGCTTTTCCTTTTAGTACTGCCTGTGTGTTGCCGATGCTCTTCTAGACAATTTAGTTTATGTTTAGATTTTGTGTCTTTGTTCTTCTCTTTTCCTCATTCAAAACCTAGGTTTCTTTTCCTCTTTCGTCGGTACTGCCATCTAAATGCCAGTGCCGATGAGACAGTGAGAAGCTGAGAGCAGGGTCTGGGTGAAGGCGAGACCCTGGGGCAGGCATGAGGCAGTGCTGTGCTTGGAGCTGGCTTGTACTGTCTCAGGAGAGCTGACTGTTATATTTTCAGGCATTAAATTATATAAATATACCCCTTGAAAGAATTTTCCATATCGGTTGTATTTCAACTTGACATTTGGACCATTGTGATGAAACAGTATGAACCCAGAACCATAGATTCATAAAATACCAGAACTGGGAAATAAGACATGCATTAGAAATGAGATTCTAGTCCAACCTAGTAATTTTCATAAGTAAGGAGACCCGGAGTACATGTGAGATTTGCCCAAAGCCACCCAACTAATCATGAGAATTAGCATTCTCCTTGCTTTGGACGTTTTCAGTGAACCACACTGCCTTGAATTCGAGTCTCTGTGTATTTACAGATCTTGAAGATGAATGCTGGCCTAGCTCTCTGTCTTTTCAAGCACCAACTGAAATTGCCATCATTGTTATATTAATTAGAAAGAAGTCATTGATTCAACCAACAGTTTCTCAATAAGAGCTACTTTTAAAATAAACAAAAAGTTTTCTGGACACATGGAGAGTCGGGATTTATGGTCAGCTAGTACAGCTGAGTGTGACTTTTAGTGCCACAGTTCATCAGCTCTGTGATAGGCATTTTTTATTCACCTCTGAACATTTTTGAAATTGGAATGTATTGTACAGTTAGTGGCATGTCATGGTTTCATTGGCAAGTTCTTTTCTTTTTCTTTCTTAGTGGACATAAAAATAATAATGTTGCTTACAATGTTGGGTTCAGTGTAATATGGTAATTTAATTCTGTGTAACGGTGTCAATTTGGGTACTTTCCTTCACGTTTTCATTTTTACACATTTATCTCTAGTCAGGCATAGACATGAATATAAATCTATGTGCATTTTGGTCGATGTCATTCCTCATTGACTTCAATGTTATTTTTTCCCCGTTTAGAATGCATCGTTAAGCCCAGCCAATGGATCTAAATTGATGAATCGTTGAGGATAAGATGTGAGTATTAAAAACTCAAGGAGAATCTTACTGTAGGTAGACATTGCGCTACGTCTTGAAGAGGCATTTTATTTGTACTTGCAGAAATTTTTCAGTTTGGAATTATGCAAAACTCAAAGTTCACTCTAATTATTGTCTTTATCAATGGTTAATCTAAGAAAGCGTGCTTCCTCCGTGCTGTTCTACATAATATCAACTTCTGATTAAGGATTAGGCTGGCAATGCTTCTTTTTATTTTTTAAATTCCTCACTCTCCATGCTCTTAAGCTTTCTTCATTCTCTGCTCTGCAGAGCACTCTGGCTTTTGGCCTCAGCCAACATCTGAACTCTGGTACGGGAGGGATCCCATTCAACTCTTTCTGGTGAGAAGAAAAACAACCCAACTGAGGCTAACTTGAAAACATCTATCCATCTGACTAATCCCCACCAGTCAAACTGGGCAAAAATAAGAATGCTATGACTCCTCTTGGGTTATATCATTAAATAGTCTCTCCCCAGCATTTGTAGTAACTGAAGGAAATTTACCATATAATTATCATGCCAAGTGGTATGTGGGTTACATACACCAGACTATAATAACGTGAATAATCAACTAGCAAATTAACCCCAAACTAGCCAGTTGTGTTTAGTTCAACGTTTGTGTTTCTTATGCTCATATATATATGAGATATATATATATATATCTCTTATGCTGCATATATATATATTTATGCTAGTAAAATTTTTCTTAGTTTATATGAATACATGAAATGTATCATTATTTCATAAAGTTCCACAAAGAGCATAATGATCTACAGAAAATGCCATGGCTATTGGATTAAATACTCTCTGAACATTTTTAGGGACTGTGGACTTAGAGGCCCTAGCATTGGTTGCAGAACATTTTTGGACTCCATAAATCACATCACATCACATCACATCACTATGCCAAACACTTGACTTTCTTCCAGCAAGATTAGCTTCACGCAAAGCTCCTATAATGAAAACAATGGAGAATAAGAGCGGCCCTTCTCCTGAAGCCTTAGATAGCAGGCATTATTATTTATAAATGTGATGTTCTCCAGGTGGAGGAGAATTGCACTTACCCATCAGTCCTATTATTTGATCCTGAATGTAGGCATCTTTTCTCCCTGATACATGTATCTGGGGAAGGGGACTGCAACAGAATTGTGAAGAATAGCAAAGAGAAAGGATCAATATGACCAATTTAGCAGAAGAAGTGAATAATTTTCGACTTGACAATGATAATGAATCATACTCTATATTTCTGTTTTCCAAATTGCAGGTTACCATCCATTAGAGGGTTGTGAATTTAGTTTAGTGGGTGGCAACCAATTTTTGAGAGAATGTCAGATAGAATAAAGTGGAATACAAGATAAATATCATGGATTTATCAGAGTGTCTTGCTTGCAGGTAGGAAGAATAGTATTTTAACATATAAGTTTTTCAAATATAAAAATTATGTGCTTTTTTAGTTTTATATGTGGATCACTATATACATACATATTTTTGTCTGTACACCCTGAGTCACAATGTAAGATCTGTTTCTCACTGTGTCAGGGTCAAAAATTGTTGAAAGCTACATGTATATGTGAAACATAAGGATACTTTTAAGACAGCTCACACTGGTTCTTCTGTTATTTCCCTTTATAAGGATCAGTTAAAAATATATCCTAGGGAACTTCCTTGGTGGTCCAGTGGTTAAGACTCCAAGCTCCCAATGCAGGGGGCCCAGGTTCGATCCCTGGTCAGGAAACTAGATCCCGCGTGCCGCAACTTAGACCCGGCGCAGCCAAATAAATAAATAAATAAATAAAATATATATCCTAAACAATAGTAATATTGCAAATTTCCTAGCGTGCCCATCCACCACGTGGCTGCATATGTGAGAACTTCTTTCTACCCACGCTGTCAGATCGTGAATTCCGCATGTATATCTCAACACCTATGCAAATCCATTACCACACTTTGCCTGTCATTCTGCCATGTTCCCTTTCCCCTGCTCAGATTTGGTTTACAAGATGACGGTATAAGTCAAAATACTTTCCTGTTCATTGGTTAGGAACTCAAAGACAACTTTTTTTTAACTTTTTCTTCATGGGTGCTTTGTTTATTAATTTATTTTTTTCTTAACATTTTTATTGGAGTATAATTGCTTTACAATGATGTGTTAGTTTCTGCTTTATAACAAAGTGAATCAGTTATACATATACATATATCCCCATATCTCTTCCCTCTTGCGTCTCCCTCCCTCCCACCCTCCCTATCCCACCCTTCTAGCTGATCACAAAGCACTGAGCTGATCTCCCTGTGCTATGTGGCTGCTTCCCACTAGCTATCTATTTTACATCTGGTAGTGTATATATGTCCATGCCACTCTCTCACTTTGTCCCAGCTTACCCTTCCCCCTCCCCTTGTCCTCAAGTCCATTCTCTAGCAGGTCTGCATCTTTATTTCCATCTTGCCCCTAGGTTTTTCATGACCTTTCTTTTTTTTTTTTAGATTCCATATATATATGTTAGCATATGGTATTTGTTTTTCTCTTTCTGACTTACTTCACTCTGTATGACAGACTCTAGGTCCATCCACCTCATTACAAATAACTCAATTTCGTTTCTTTTTATGGCTGAGTAATATTCCATTGTATATATGTGCCACATCTTCTTTAGCCATTCATCTTTCAATGGACACTTAGGTTGCTTCCATGTCCTGGCTATTGTAAATAGAGCTGCAATGAACATTGTGGTACATGACTCTTTTTGAATTATGGTTTTCTCAGGGTATATGCCCAGTAGTGGGATTGCTGGGTCATATGGTAGTTCTATTTTTAATTTTTTAAGGAACCTCCATACTTAGGAACTCAAAGACAATTTTAAACTCAAAGATAATTTGGAAGCCTTCCTGTAAGTGCCCGTGGATTGTCATCTCAGCAGAAGACTCAGTGGAGCTGTGAAAGTCCCTCTTAGTCTTGACTCCCACCAGGAAGGCTTTGAGCCAAGATCAGTGAGTTTTGTCTGCTTCCCGGTCACAGTTTGCCCCATGAGCCTAAGTGGATCGGAGTGAGTTCATCTCCATTAGAGCATAAGGAAATTTACGTTTGCTGAGGACTAAGTGGTTGTTTAGTTGGCTAAGTATTGTAGTAGCTATGTGCTGTCGTCACCTTCAGCTGGATCCAACTTTGTTGTATATTGCAGGTGAAGAGCCTCGTGTGTGAAAATGAAGTCCCAGGCAATCACGATTTACTGTTTAATGTTATTTCTGGCCCCAGAATGTTCTCATCCTAGATCCAAGACCCACATAAAAGTAAGTTTGATCCATTCTTAGGTGCTCCCATTAGAAACCAGTCAGTTCTTTGAGATGACTAGAGTTATGATAAATAACATGTCATTTAAAAGAAATTTTCGGATGACTACGACTTTACCCTTACTGATGGCAGATTTCTAAAGAAAGGAATAAAGAAAAGACAGTACAGTATTGTTGCGACGGGGTGCAACAGTATTACAGGAAAAGCCACGGGGCGTGTAGACAGGCAGCTGAGCAATTTAGGTTCAAAGCTTAACTTTGCTTGTTAGTTGCACAAGTTGCTTCATTTCTCTGAGTCCTTAATTTCCTTACCTATAACATGAAGAGTGTTTTTTTTTTTTCTTTTAGATCTTTACCGTCTTTCACAGCTACAAAGAGTTTCCGATTCTATTATTGCAACCTAGCACTCATTCCCAGTACCTGCTCACTTCTTCCTCTCTGAGGATACACGGTATCGGGTGGACCACATTAGTTTCATTCCACAGTTTCAGTTAATCCAGGCAGAGAACAGCTTAGTGCTGTAATTGTCATCACTGTGTTCTCCAAGGATACTTCAACTCTCCAAAAGTTGCATCCAATGCACTGGCCTTCAGAGCTCAGTGAGCACTGTCAAGTATCTAACCTTCATCGGGGGACAGCATGTTCTCGGTCGGTGTTCACATGCCTGTGTCCTTCAGCAGTTCCTGCCACATCAGCTTCATCCTTCTTCCTAGTGTTCAACATTTTCTTTTCATATCCACATGGAGCCTCTAAGTTGAGACGAGAGACGAGAGCCCACAGTAAAGAAGACGTCTGGGAATTTATGGTTTACAGGATGGAGATAAACTCCAAGGTCCTGCAGGAAAACCCAAGACTGAAAGGATGCAAGGTGTGTGGCTATAGAATAGTTTTCTTCCATTTGAAGACTGGGCAGAATAAAGGAAGGGCGTGGATATTGCAAGCCTGTCCCCAGACCACAAGCTTTCACATAGAATAACAATCTTTAATAAATTCTTTTTTTTTTTGCGGTACACGGGCCTCTCACTGTTGTGGCCTCTCCCGTTGCGGAGCACAGGCTCCGGAGGCGCAGGCTCAGCGGCCATGGCTCATGGGTCCAGCTGCTCCGCGGCATGTGGGATCTTCCCGGACCGGGACACGAACCCATGTCCCCTGCATCGGCAGGCGGACTCTAAACCACTGCGCCACCAGGGAAGCCCACTATAGCATTTCTTGATTAGTCACTAAGGAGAGGTAGTTCAGATGATTTAGTAAAGCTGATCTTTCCATTAAGGTTCTAATTTGACCTGTTTTGGGAAGCTTATTAGACTAAGCCAGGTGGAGGAGGCCCTGCATCCTGGGGATACTGCCTAACCATTCTAGAGAAGAGAGGCGTGGCTGAAGTCTTCGCTCTAGCTAGCTGGGCATACCTGGTTGGCTGTACGAAAAGTTGGTGACAGCCAGTAGAAGCCAAGGTCAGGCATTACACCACTTACTAGAATCAGGGGGGTGCTCGAAGTTTGACCAGTATCAGGAGGAAGTGGAGGAAGGAATGGAAACACACTACAACTCTCCCCAAAGAAATCCTCACCGCCTATCTCTTCAACTTTCAGCTTCTACTTTTGAACCTGGGAAGTGGGGGACGGATGACGATTGCATTCTTTCAGCATATCCTCCACGGGTGGCCCTGGCCCTGTTGAATTTTCTCAGTAATTGGGGTCCTCCGCTTTTTACATCTGCACCCAGAAGGAATGAGAAGGTCTCAGAAGCAGCAGCTGGCACCATGTTGGGGGTGCAACAAACTCAGAGGACAGGACTGGAAACTCGTGATCAGTGATCCTCCCAAGTCCAGAATGGAGAGCTCGCAGCACCGGGAAGGTCTTTCAGCAGAAAGCAGGGCTCCAACCACACGGTCGAGAGCAGAATTACAGCTCAAGGACACAAGTGTCTGGGAAGTACAAGGCCGGGTCACGGCCCAGGCTAGGGGTCAACCACAGAGCACAGGCAGTATTTCAGACCTTAAACCAGAACACAAAATCTTAGACTGGCGGGGTCTGGGGAGGCAGGCCGAATTCCAAGAGCCAGAAAGGGGGCAGGAGACCAGAATTGGACTTGCCCAGATTTGGGGCCCTTGTGGTTGGAAACTCCACATGTTCCAGTGACCTCAGGTCAGATTATTCTTAGGAACAAGGTCGGGACAGGTGTACAGGGAGGTCCCGGAACCATGGGAGGACAGCAGAGGTGTGAAAACCGGGCAGTTTTCTCCATGTATAGATCCTAACTGGGGGTTCCCATCCTGGGAAGCAGGGGAGGGAGGGGAACAGCATTCTTAATACGAGGCCACGGCTGCACAGCGCCCTCTGTTGTTCATATGAAGGGCAGACCTTTATATGACCCAGCAGAGCTTGTGTTACCCAGTGTGATTTCAGGGTCACCAGGACGGCTTCTCCATTTCTCTGAAATCTCTTCCACTTATTTGTTCATGCCTAAAATTCACTTAAAAGAACTCCTCATTCCACAATGAGAAATGGGACAGATAGAATAGATACCCGGAGAGAAGCAACACGGTTTTCCTAGTAAAGCTGCAAACTCAGAGCCGCTGAGTCATTCTAGAGACCAAGCTTAGAGGAGGGGGAGAGAGGGCATTGCAAGTTTAGGCTTGAGGGAGCAGCATGGAGAAGGCAAAGTGCACAGAAAAATTAAGCTGGGGGAATAGCCTTCATGCTGTGTGACCTTGAAGAAATTGCCAATGCCTCTGTGCCTCCATTTCCTCATCTGTAAAATGGGGCTAATAATAGTACATACCTCCCAGGGTGGTCTCAGGATTCAATGAGCCAACACATTCAAAACTGATGGACTGGTGCCTGGTTCAAATTAAGTTATTGGTACATGCCAGCTATTATTCTGACTGTTAACCAGGGCTTCATCCATTTTGCCTATGCTGCCCCATTCCTCGTGAATATCCTGTGTCCTGGCCGGAGAGTTGAGCTCCTGGAGAAGGAGGCTGGAAGGCAGGCTGGAATGTGGAGGGACAGTCATGCTTCTATGGAAGACTTTCTCTTCTTGCCAGGAGTGACACCTAAACTCTCAGTGTGAGAAGGTTTGCTGAGAAAAAATTGAAGAGAACATTTGGTGACTGGGCTTGAAGGAGGTAGATCTATGGACTCTTTGATCTACTCATGACCTGCAAAAGCCTGGCTTCTTGGTCAAAGTTGGCAAGAGTAAGACTCAGTCCCCTTTCACCCCCTAGGACCTGCTCTGTGGCTCCTTGGCTTAGCCACCCATTGGCTTTTGACTCTGCAGCAAGCGGGGTGGTGGTGTGGACTGGAAAAGTGGAGTCAAGGACCTAGGGCTTTCACTAGACTGAAGAGGAAGAGTTAGAGGAGGCCTTCCAATGTCCTTCTAGGGGTTTGGCCTTGTCCCAAGATAGGAAAAGGGACAGGGTTTCAGAGCAAGGGATCTGCTTCAGGAATGAAAGTTAAAACTGGATCTGGAAACTGGTGCAAGAGAGCAAAGAACTCTATCTGGATAACAAGAATTTTCACAGTAATGAATTACGGAGAAGATACATTCTGTTCTTGAACTACTTTACTCACTTAATTCCATGATCCAACCTAAGCTTCATGGAGGATTAGTGGTTAGGGCCGTCTGTATGCTGAAAGTAATAAGATTGTACAAAGGGTTCTATGGGGAGAGACATTCCTATACTGATATTACTATTCAAAAGATACAGGCAGGACTTCCCTGGTGGCATAGTGGTTAAGAATCCACCTGCCAATGCCGGGTACACGGGTTTGAGCCCTTGTCCGGGGAAGATCCCACGTGCCGCGGAGCAACTAAGCCCGTGAGCCACAACTACTGAAGCTGCGTGCCTAGAGCCCATGCTCCACAACAAGAGAAGCCACCGCAATGAGAAGCCCCTGCACCATAACGAAGAGTAGCCCCCGCTCGCCACAACTAGAGAAAGCCTACGCGCAGTAACGAAGACCCAATGTAGCCAAAAATAAATAAATAAATTTAAAAAGATACAGGCAGGCGCTAAAAGCTGGAAAAGACAAGGAAACGAATTCTCCCTTAGAGCTTCCAGGAGGAATGTAGCCCTGCTGATGCTCTGATTTGAATGTAGTGAGACCCACTTTGGACCTCTCTGACAGGCAGAACTGTAAGATAATACATTGTATTGTTTTAAGCCAATGAATTTATGGTAATTTGTTACAGCACTGATAGGAAGCTAATAGAGTAGCTGTAGCTACATAATCATAGATAATTCACAAGCAAATTAGTTTAAAACTTGGCAAACCGACAGTGAAAATGATTGATTTGTATAAATTAAACACTTCAGTGCCACCTGGTGGCTGAAATCTTACAGCGAATGACTTGAAATGACATAAACCTCTAGCTAGTCCCCCAAAAGAGAAGTACTATCCTCCAAACATGGCATGAGGCTAATTGTGATCAAATGATTAAGCAAAGGTTGAAATTGTTCATAGGGATTACCAAATAATACAGTGGAAAAAGCACTCCACGAATAAACACTCAGGAATACAGCATTTTATTACACGGACCTATGATAGAAAACAGGTAACCAGTAAGACCTGCCTAGGAATCATTAGCCAGGGGTGGTGCAACAGGTGGCTGGGGGAACCTTCACTCCATTCAAGCCTTACCCCGTCAAATTTATCGGACCTCTATTCTCCCGATGTTAGCTATGGACAAGTAACCTTTCCCAGCCTCATATTAAGTATAGTAGCATTGCTTTAACCAGATAGCACTGCTAGACCTCTTCTACAGAGAAAATCTGAAACTGTCTGGACATACATGATCTAGTCAAAAGTGCAAGGTACCTCACACCCATTAGGATGGCTGCTATCAAAAGAAAACAGAATGTAACAAATGTTGCTGGGCATGTGGAGAAGCTGGAACCCCGTGCACTGTTGCTGGAATTGTAAAATGGTGCAATGGCTATGGAAAACAGTATGGAGGTTCATCAAAAATTAAAAATAAAAGTTCCATA